AGAAATAAATAAATAAGTAACAGCCTTGACTTCTGAGTTGGCCATTGGACTGGTTGTTTCAGTTTTGGGCACACAGTTTTGGGTTAAAGGTAGGATCCAGGCCTGTGGAAATTGTGATGCTCAGAATTGGTGGTGTATTGCACGCACGTGTGGTTTCTCTCTCCCTTTGTAAAGTTGGTTAAATTAAAAAATCTCTCTCTCTCTCTCTCTCTCTTTAAATTAGGAAGACAATAGAAACTGCTAACAATGCGTCTGGGAACGTTGGCAGTGTTTGTCATAGTGAGATCTGATTTCTGTGTTTGCCTTTGTGAATTGGGAAAGTCCTGTCTTTCTCATCTGCTGATAGCAAGGAATGCTGCCATTTTAGTAAATAAAGAGAGTTGGGTATGGTGAATAATTTAATTATTTCAATCAATAGTCTTTCTCCATTTTAGCTATGAATTTCCTACTTGGCAACACACAAAGTGGGTGCATTTAAATAAGCAATTTCAAAATTGTAAAGGATTGACCAGCTGATGTTTTGTTAGTGATCCACTAACATTCCTACTGTTCTATCCATGGATAGGATTGTGCTGTGTTCTCCTATTCCTGTCTTCCATGAGAACCTTCTCTTCTTCTTTGATGCATCCTTTACCCATGAATGAAGGCCATCCTCGCAGCTGGGATTGGATTGGTCTCCCAAGCAGAGTTTGAAAGCAGACTTTGAGCAGGATTTACCAGCCTGGTTTCAAGAGTACTTGGTTAGCATTGACCATGGTTCATTTGGATGCAAGGAAAACACCGTCATGGGTAAAGCAACCCAAGAAGGCAGGGGTTTCACGGTTTGGAGGAAATGGCTAGGTCCCCACCTCACAGTCAGGCCTGGTTGGTTTATCCCTCATTTCCTTTAAATTCTGCCAGAGTTTCAAAAACTTCAAACACTTGATGTAGAATAAACTATGCCAAATGCACCTTTTTAATTCCATTCTTCCCCCCACAAATGCCTTAAAATCCTGCTCAGCTTTACACCTCCTTTCTTTCAGCTCACAATCCTGAAGCTGCCTCCCTCCCTCGTTTTCTTTACGTTTGTGACCAGCTTCGTTGGATGGGCAAACAGATGGGTTAGGGTTAGGGTTTATCTGCTTGATTTCGCCTTGTCACCTTGCGTTCTCTGTGGCCCTGGCAAGTTCTCGACAGAGCCTGTTTCAAAGGACGTGAAAGTGTTGCTGGTCAGTACATGTTATGACTCGGTCACCAAGCCACATTGAGAAGCTGTGGCTAAGCATCATGCGTGAATGTGTGTGTGGTCCAGCTTAACGTTGGTTCAGAGTTGGATTGAGGAGGCTCGGCTGCCCCCGTGGCAGGTGGCCTTGAGCTGTTTCTGCTGTCCATGCTGAGTCGCTGGAAATCCCTTACTTGTCTTACCTTGCAGGAGTCGGAGCCAGAGAACAAGCTCGATGGAGAAACTGCATCGGATAGCGAGAACAAGTCGGAGGCCGCCCAGTCCTCTTCGGTCGATGACACCCCGGAGGTCCTCAACAGAGCCCTCTCCCACCTGTCCTCAAGGTACTGCCATGTCAAAACCTTCTTGAGCATTTGGGGATTTTCTCTTGTGGACAGCCATGACATTGCTTTACCTGGTGGATCATCCTGCAGAGGAGGAGCTGGCACTAAAGTGGTGGTAGCACGATTGCCAAGAGTATCCCTCCCTTTTTCTTTTTATGTAAGTACCAGTTTGCCACACTGCGTTTCAAAAATTCTCCCAGTTGAGTCTTTTCGTGCTCCTTCACCACATGCGAAGGTCAGGATGGGGAACCTCTTTCCTGCAGGGCCTCATCCAGGCACAGACGGAAAACTGTCAACTCTATCAAAACTATCAACCCAGTGCAGAAGACATAATACGCTTGGTTTGGTTTATGACTTAACATGTGCTGCAAATGCAGCCAATTGTGATTTATTAAGCAAACCATGGTTTAGCATAATTTGCAAAGCCAGTTGGGGTTTACACCAAGGAAAAACAGGTATTTGGTGCCTTTAGATGATTTGAACTACGATGCCATATTCCCTAGTTGACATTCACTATATATGGGGTTCTCTAGTTGTTGTACCATCACTTGTAGGTTTGTTCCTCAATAATGTGTGCACCACATTCAAAGGCAGAGCTCCCAACCTGGTTCCATTCCAGATGTGGGGACTTTGGGAATCTCAGCAGTGGCAGTTGAGTTACACATCAGGAGGAACCCCAGGTTGGGGAAGGCTGGAACTGGAGAGTAGAACAGGCCAAGCAAATATTGCTTCGACGTAGTCCAGCCGTGTCCAGCCTAATTTAGGAAAGGGGAGTCAGAATCTCTTGCCAGCGTACATCCAGTCAGCTACAGATCTCCCTCTGCCTTCCCTGGATTGGAAGCTTGGACTGCATGTCCTTCATTTATGAGGATATTTGTGTCCTCATAAATATTTATGAAGGCATAAAGATAATTTAAACATAGTTCAAATTGTATTTACAGCATGCTTGCTGGGTGCTTAGCTGTATCTGCTGGGCTCAGAAGCTCATATTCTCTGGTCCTTCCGTTCTCCAGCAGCATTTTCTGCGTGACTTTCTGCAGGCGGACCCTCAGGGGACCCTCGTGTTCTGGCAGGAGCTGCTGGTGCTAGAAATAGCCGTTGGTTCTTGCCTTTGCTAAAAGAGTAGCAAAACTTAGGGAGCTGGTTTCTGCCTTTAATGGAAAACGTTGTTCAAAATGCGTGCCTTTCACCACAGAGTTTCTTTTCTTCTCTGCAGATCCTCAGGGCAGTTCATGGAGCAGGTCTAAAAGTATTGGGGTGTTGGGCTTTATAAATCTGGTCCCGGGATCTTCCAAGGCAAGGAGAATCTATTCTGTGCCTTCCAGCCTTTTCCCAGAGTGGTTTATTGCTCTAGGAACAAGAGTGCCATGGTGACACTCATCAGAATCGCAATGGAACTTTCCCACCCTGGCATGGGCCCTTCTGGCTGGCAATCCTGGGAGCTGCAATTCTAACACATCTGGAAGGAGCTGGCTGGGTGGGGCTGCCTTTTGTGCTGCCGCACAATGGTGCAAACGTGTTCAAAGAATGCTCTCAGCCAAGCCTTGGCCAAAGAGAACCCCCACCACGATGCCCACCTCTGGTTGCATGAGGTGCCACCAAGACAGGTTGCTCTAGTCCTGGGAGAGGCTGTTTCTCCAGGTGTTGAACTACAGCTCACAGCGTCACTTGGAAACTAGCCAGGGGTGAGGGATGTTGACAGTGATTGTTCAACAGATCAAACTTGCTAACCCATTTCTTTGGCCTTAATTCTCTCTAGACCTGATTCAGGACCCAGAAGCCGGTATTGAAAGCATGGGAATTAGCTCAGTAGTGCAATCCCATTCCCCAGATTATTTCTGACATGGATGGGCTTGACCAATGCCTTTTAAAAATTGCTTTAATGTTCAGAAAGAAAGGGAGAGGTGAGAAAAGGCCGAAGGACAACCCTAGAAGAGGTGGGGGTAGGGGGCTACTGCTAACACACACTATTTTACCAGCCAGAGACCACCCAGAGGTGCATAAGGCAACTTTCTCTAGGATAGGCTGATCTGTTGAGGAATTTTGGACTAGACTTACAGCCAGTCCTGTCTGCAAAGAGGCTAAGCTGGAATATATCACTCAGAGATGCTGTGGGCACCCTCTTTGGATATTGCTTCAACTACATAACAGCACCTACCTGTTCAACCAGTCAGTGAATTCATACAGCACATGGTCTTTGGAGTTCTGGATTCAGGTGGTAGATTGTATTCTCCCCCCCCCAAAATAATTGTTTTATTGCATTATAAGATGTGAGTAATGCCTTATAGAATCTAAATATTAGCTGGGTACAGCGGTATTTACACAAGATAAACCAGAAATTATTAACACTCTGATGATTTAGATAAGTCCAGCCTTTAAAGAACAGGAGAAAAAAGTTTATATCAATGTTAAATGGAATTTCTAAAATGTCAATAAACATAGGGCTACTTGAATTGTACAATTAAACCTAAGTTGTGAAATGCATTGAATGATTCTATAATAGAAAAAAGGCTTCTGTCTTTGAGCTTAATGCTTGATACTAAGATCTCTGCTGTATTGTTATTTATTATTGTTTATAAATGTTAAAGAAAAAAACAGAAAAAGAAAAGGAGGGACAGATTGTATTACTGTTGTGATGTAGAAATCAGTTCTCCAGAGTTCAAACTTGACTCTTCCTCTGTTGCAGATGGAAGAACTGGTGGGTAAGAGGCATTCTTACTCTGGCCATGATTGTCTTTTTCTTCATCATAATCTACCTGGGACCCATGGTGTTGATGGTGATTGTAAGTTCTTTTGTGTGTGTCTGAAAAAAAGTTGTCTCTTTGGGAGCTAGAGGGCCTGCTAAGCTTTGGAGAAGTCCCATCCTCCAGGTGGTGGATGGCTTGGATCTCAGTTTAGAAATTTAACCCAAACAGGGTTTTTTTTGGAGGGGGGGAGGAAGCTGCACCCATGTCAGAAAGAGCCAAGTGGGAGGAACCAAAAGGAATGTGCTACTTCATGAGTTCTTTTAAGCTTCTCCTTAATGTGGCTTGGAAACCAGGTCTATGTTCAAGACCCAGATGATGATATTGAAAGCATGGGAATAGGCTTTCAGTGACATAATCCAATTCCCCAGATTATTTATTTTTTTAAAAAATGTTTTATTATATTGTTATAAGACAATAGTAATACATTATATTATTTCAATACAGTGGTATTTATATAGTATTGACTAGAGATTATTAGCATTCCAGTGTTTAGATAACTTAGATCTTTAAAGATAGGAAGAGCAGGGTTTATAGAAATGTTAACTATGATTTGATATATCAGTGTTCATAAACGTAAGATTGTCCCCAGAATATTTGTAGCATCGATGGGATCGATCAATGCATTTTAAAAAATGGCTTTAACCTACAAAAGAGAAAGAGGGAGAGACAAGCAGCATGATGTAGTATCTACTCAGTTTCTTTGGATCAGCATGAACGAGGTCTTCTGCAAAGTTACCTGGGAATGAAATTCAGCTTGTAAAACACGTGGAGCTTTAGCAAAAGATGCTCACAACTGCAGTATTTTATTTTCAAAGCTAGAAATACCGTGTTTTTGCTTGATTATTTGCTGCAGACAGTAGCAACGCCTGGAAACCTGGTTTATTTATTCATGAATCATATTGGTATGCTGCCCAATTCCCAATGACTCTGGGTGGCTCACCCTTAAAACAAGGAGAATACAGTGCAAAGCAGTTTAAAAATAATATTGATAATATCAAAATAAATAAATGATGGCAAGAACGATAGACTGGACAAGAGTGAAGGCAAAGGTCTTTGCTCCCCAAAGGCCTGGGTGAAGGGCCAGGTCCTCAAGGGTCTCTGAAATGCCAACAGAACATTTGGATCTTGGGGGGACCTCATTCCAGAGGGCAGGTGCTACCACAGAGAAGATGTGGTTCTGAAGTCCTGGTAGATGACATTGTTGTCTCCTTTATTCAACAGCCTAGCGATGGAGGGTTCTTGGTCATAGTCTCCTGTTCCAGTAGAGGTGGTTATTCTTCCCATTCTTTCTTCATCTCCATCCTGAATTGAAAGCACAGTGGAGAGTGGCTGTTGCTTTTGGGGTGGCATAATGCATCATGCTGTAACAGGGCACCTTGGAGTTGTGAGGGTTTCTTTTTTTTTTAAATACAGTAATCTTATTAAAAATTATAATTGCAACAATAAGAACTGATGCAAACTAAAAAAAGAAAAGAAAAAAGAAAAAATAGAAGGTTCAGAAAAGAAAAAAATAGAAAAGAAAGAAAAAATAAGAATATAGTAAAGAAAAAGAAAAGA